ACCGTTGCCGGACACGAAAAAAAAAAAAAAAAAAAAAAAAAAAAAAAGAATGGCACATTGCTACTGCGGCCAAAAGGCTTCGCCGAGCCTTGGACACTCATGCTCCTGCCTTTGTTGTAGGACACGGCCGTCTCAGCCCTGGCTGCTCTCTGCAGCGAGTACTACATGATGGAGCCAGGACAGGCAGACCCTGCAATCCAAGGTGAGTGAGCCCTGGTGGGCTCTTTCCTTGAAGGCTCCCGGGCTCCTAGCAGGAGGCTGCGTGTGGTGCCTGAGCCCAGCAGGGAGCAGTGCTGTGGGTGCTGGTCTCTGGGGTTGGCGACAGGCCCCAACTGATGGTGGGCTGGGGCTGCAGGGGAGGATCGGGCTGTATAGGAGCCGCCTCCTGGTGCCCCCAGGGCTTCAGGTTGACGTTTTGTTCTCGGTCCGTGGGTTTTGCCCAGCTGCTCAGGGTTTTTTCCTTCTCCTCTGAACCAGTAGCTTCATGGAGACAGGCTCAGTGTGGCCTGTGCCATGTTGCAGAGCTACTGTCCCGTCCGTAGAATCAGCTCTTCCTGCAGCAGTGTTTTCTTAAATTGCGTGTTTAAATAACCTTTCTCCCAGTTCTGTTCTTCGGGATTCTCATTCTGCATTTGTTGGAGCTCCTTCTGTCTTCTTGTGCTGTCTTTCCAGTTCTGTAAGCCTCTTCTTCTCCTTTTTGTTTTGTCCGCTCCACATCCCGTGCTTCTGGTGGCTCTGCTCTGTGGCCTGTGCTCCGTGGCTCCTCCCTATGTGCTGTGCTGACCTTTTCCTCACACTTCTTATCTAAGCCTCTTCTTCTCCTTTTTGTTTTGTCCGCTCCACATCCCGTGCTTCTGGTGGCTCTGCCTCTGTGGCCTGTGCTCCGTGGCTCCTCCCTATGTGCTGTGCTGACCTTTTCCTCACACTTCTTATGTCCCTGACTTTGTGCTTTCTCCTTGAGTCTTTGTGTGAGTGGTCACTTCGTTAGTTTCTACACTGCATGGTAAAAATGTGTTTTTAGGATTTTCATGTGCACCATGACAGCATTTTTCTGGTGCGTGTTCTTCACGTGTGAACACATTTTGCTGGGTTTTCCTGAACCATCTGTGCCGATGCGGCGCTGGTGTGTGTCTGTAGAACCTAGTTCATGAGTGTCACCTCTTATATTAAAACATCACATTTGTGTATTATGTTGGGCTGTAGAATCCCTTTGTCATGTTATAGAACATGTGTTATAATCACACCAAAAATATAGGAAACATTGTTCTAAATTATCATTATTTTGTGTGGTTCAGAATGTAGTTTAATTCAATTCACTGAGATGAAGCAGCTGAAAGTGCACCTCTCACCCACGCATGGGGTTCTGGTGCCGAGTGCACGTGTGTGCAGACTTACAGAAACAGCATGAATTATTATAAGTGCATGAAGATTGTGTGTGCAGAAGTCTAAGTCTGCGTTCTGTGGCTTTAGAAGAAAGTATTCTGCAAGTTGATCTTCTGACAGACTTTCTAAATTAGCAATGTGGTGCAATGTCCCTTTACCACAGGCAACGTTTTATGTAGAGACAGTAACATTGTTTTGTGTTTAGTCCGTTTTTACAAATTGGAATAATGATGCCATGTTTTACTTTTTGTCTAAGAAGAAAGCACCATATCATGTCACTGTAAACATGAGAAGTGGTGTTCCGAAGTAACCTCGGACGTGCTGAAACTGAAACTCACGTAGCTTGTAGAGATGGTGGGCCGCGCTGGTCAGCTGCTGCTGGAGAGAGTTCACTTTAGTGTGTGCATGAATCGAATTTCTGGTGTGTTTTTTCTACCCTAGCACATAAAGATACAGGGTTTTCATGTGTGTGCATTACAGGGGTCTGCTTTGCTAGAATTAAAACAGCAGTGACAAGAACCTCTTTGGGTTACAGCAGGGGGACCTGTTCAAGGTGTCTGGCCTCCCCACACCTCCCTGAGCCGTGTTTTAAAGAGCAGACCAGTCACTCAGTTTCCTCCTTACGATTCTTCACCTGATTCTACCCTAAACCTTTAGTGCACCTTAGTTTCTTTTTCTCCCTCACAACTTCTATTCCTGTCACCGTTCCTGTCACTGCCCACCTGCTTTTCCTCTGGATGAGTTGCCGTGTGTCCACCCCTGTGCTCTCAGCCGGCTTTACTGCTCTCTGCCCCTTTCTGCCCAATGAGCTGCTGCCTCTGCCCCCAGGCCGACCTCAGTGAGGGCGTTTTGTGGTGCGGGTTGCCACACCAAGCTGTGTTCTCACCACGGCGTCCCCAAGCCCTCTGTGCAGCCTGGAGCTGCATTTACCCTGAGTCTGATGAAATACTCCCATTTAGGAGGAAGGCATCATTTCCACAATAGCACTTATGTTCTTAGTGAATAAAAATGAGTTATTAATGTATGCCATTCTCATAACCCTCTTGAGTTCATTTTCCTAAGAATGAGACCATGCCATGTAGTTAAAATTGCTGATGAAAACCTTAAAACCAACATGTAAAAGTTACTCGCACTTTGAGAGTGTGTCTGCTCTGGAAGCCTAACGTGGCTCCTCGTTTTATTTAGCATTGTTCTGCTCACATGTCTGAGTGTGTGCAGAGTGGGAAAATGGTGGGACACGGAGGTCATTCTCCACATGTTCATACTTCTTGTAGAGGAACTGATCCAGCAGTATCTCGCCGAGCTCCAGAGCCCAGAGGAGATGACTCGCTGTGGCTTCTCGTCGGCCTTGGGTTCCCTCCCGGGCTTCCTGCTGAAAGGCAGGCTTCAGCAGGTGAGGCTGATCCGAGCCGGAAGAGGGGCACGGAGGGGTGCGTGGGCCAGCGTATGGCGGTCATGTGATGAGGGGAGGGAGGTGGGTCAGGCCGTGAGTCCATGCGGTGTTCGTGGTGTGAGGAGGGCAGGAAGCATGCAGGCACGTGGCAGGTGGCCAACCTGGTCAACCCACTCATGTGTGATTGTGGCTGTAGAGGCAGCCTCTGCCCCAGTGGAAACATGTTTGCCTCCACATGTGACATGCAGTGTCTAGCACAGCACCTCTGGCCTTGTCTGACCACAGAGGCCGCCCCTGGTCCCCTTTGCCCAAGGCAGCTGTCCATGTGCACGTCTCATCTGCGGTGGCCCCTCTTGGGGTCTCCGCCTGCTCTCTCCTCTTTGAATACTGTGTAGGCCTGGGCTTGAAGAGGAGCTGAGCAGAGCTCCACCGGGACAGGAGCGCCTGCCTGCCCTGTTTGTGCGCTGCCTGTGGTGCTGCTGTCTGCAGAGCCTGCCAGGGATGGGGTCGCTTGGGGACACTCCAGGCTTCCCAGGCACTTGGACTAGCCCCCCTGTCTGTAATTGCAAAAGGCTGGGAGGTGTGTCCTCTGCCACAGTCTCTCGTTGAAAGCCGTAGGTTGACAGGCAGGGGCTTCTCGGCCTCGTCAAGAACAGGGCTAGTCCTGTTTCCTGGGACCCTCCCTGCCCTCCCATCCTACCTCACTGGCTGTGCCTCTTGCCAACTTGCCTCGGGCTCATCCTGAAAGGCAGTGCCTGAGTCCCTCGTCCTCGGCTGGTTCCTCAGGGGTGATTGCATCCACTCACCTCCCTCACCCTGACGTCGGTCTTGGGCTCCTTGGGAGGGTCCAAGGGATGCCTGTGGCCCTCTGCTTTGGCACGTCCAGTCGGACCTGGAGACCCGATATCCTCCTGCCCTCACCAGTCTGTGTCCTGCAAACTCTTGTACTTCTCTTCTTCCAAGTAAACATCACGGTTCTGCTGACCCACCTGCCAGCTGTCCCTGCTCTCTAACCTCCCATTCCTCTGTTGATCTGGTCCCGCACCCCCAGATCACAGCTCCAGATGAACTGCCGTCAGCGTGCTGGGGGCCTCGCCACCAGGGAGACGGGCATACCGGCCTTGCAGCCACCACACTGTCTAAAGCTCTTGTATTGGGGTTTGTCCACTTGACTCGAGGGTAAACATGAAACAGGTTTAGAACTGAACTGTTAATAAGTAACAGGTCCAAGCTTCTTGTCTAGTGTCCCAGGCCTCAGCAATAGGACACATGGGAGAGAGGATCCAGTGACAGCCTGGGGTGGGGGCTCCGTGGTGGGGGTTGGAGGCGGCCCCTCCCCATGTGTCCTGCCCAGAAGCTGCCAGTGCTGAGGTGCTGCATTCGTGGCAGTGGGGCCACGTCTCCACCTGCGTGGAAAGTGCATTTGTTTTATAGTTGACGGTTCTTTTGGTGACTCTTCATTGCTTTTCAGGTTCTAGCAGGTTTAAGAGCAGTTACCCAGACTTCTCCCAAGGATGTGAGCTTTGCCGAGGCCAGGAGGGACGGCTTGAAGGCAATTGCCAGGTGCGTCTTGGTGGCTCCTCCCAAAGTCACAGCCCTCTAAAATGCTGATGGGAACATTCATGGGCTTGTGTTAGAAGCCTAGTCACAAAGCAGATTGTCTAATCTACTTAGAGGCAAACTTCGTTATTTTCTGTTTTTTAGTTTCTTCTTTTCAGAGGATTGTCAGTGAGCATTTCCAACTCACGGGGGCTCATTAACAGTTTCATGTTGTCATATTAACAATGAATATAAAGCCCGTAGTGTGATTGTAGGAACAGTGCACCACTGCAAGGACTGGGGGTGTGCTTCAGCTCGAGGTTGGCACAAGGGAAGCACGTCCATCCATTGTGTGTGGAGTGATCTCTGCACACATGACACGAGCATGTGCGAGGCCAAGCCCTCCCCTCTCTTCCCTCAACGCAGCGCGGAGGACCAGCTCTGTGGAGCCCACACGCGCCCCTCTCCTGCTTCTGCGTCAGCGTGCGTCGATCATTCCATTGTGTGTGGAGTGATCTCTGCACACATGACACGAGCATGTGCGAGGCCAAGCCCTCCTCTCTTCCCTCAACGCAGCGCGGAGGACCAGCTCTGTGGAGCCCACACGCGCCCCTCTCCTGCTTCTGCGTCAGCGTGCGTCGATCACGCTATGCTTGTGCGGAAGGAGCCCTGGATTCCAAACCTGCCTTTGAGGTTCCTGGTCTGCCCTGAGCGTGTCCTCACAGGAGCAGTCCACAGTGACATGAAGGACAACTCACAGACGTGGTTATTATTTAACATGTTTTTAATTTCAGGATTTGCCAGACAGTTGGTGTGAAAGCAGAAGGAGCCCCAGATGAAGCCGTGTGCAGAGAGAATGTTGCCCAGATTTATGCGGTGCTGCTGGGCTGCATGGACGACTACACCATGGACAGCAGAGGGGACGTGGGAGCCTGGTAAGGGCTGGTGTTGGTGCTGCAGCTGTGTTGTGTCTCGCGAGGGCCCCGAGGTTACGGGGGTGGGCTTCGTGCCATTGCTCTCTGGCCTCACCCGCGATGCTCAGGATCACGGGTGTCACCTCTGCAGGGGCATGTTCCCCCAGCCATGGCCCTTCCTGCAGTGGGGTTTTACCTGGGCCTCCCTTTATCTCAGGACTTAGGATGCCCGGCAGATGGCTTCTCTGTTCACGCTCTCTAGTCTGTGTTCTCCTCTTTACTGAAGAAGAAATTGACTTTGTACAATACAAATATTGTGACTTTCATGTCTGAGCCCTAGCTGGGTGCTCTCCAGTTTAAACATAATAAAGTTTATCTCTCACAAAGCTCCCAACGAGAATGTGTAGAAGGAAGAAGGGTCCCAGATCAGTTCTGAGAATGGACTCATTCCAGTATCTCAGGAAGAAACTGCTACTCTGGAGAAACCTTGCCTTGGGTAGACGTTATCTGGGAATGCAGCTACAAATCACACTCTTGGCTCCTGATTGGCAACAAGACTTAAAATGCGTAGATTTCACAGTATTGGGAAGAACTCCTCGAAGTTGATGGTTTACTCTGAGGAAGTCCTAAATGGTTAATTACAAAGGTCTGGTAGATCCTGCTGAGCTGCTGTGTTCACAGACTCGCTCACACAGTTGACCATTGAACAGCACAGGTGTATGAACTGCATGCGTCCACTTATTCAATAAATAGACTGGGAAAGTTTTGGTTAGGTTTGTCATGAGTGCGTGACGTACCTCACCAAACAGGCAGGCAGCTTGCCCCCCAGGGGGCTGTTAGTAGTTGAGCAAATCCTCCCCTGTGGGGCGCAGGGCACACAGTGTGGCAAGTTGTGACCTGAGGAAAGCATGGGACGTGTTTTTAAGTAGTAGGTAAAGTGGTATGTGTGGGGGCGTAGAAAGGTTTACGTGGATTTTCGACTGTGAGGGGTGGGCCCTGTAACGCCACATTGTTCAAGGGTCAACTGCGTTTCCTTCCTTATTCTTATACGGGCAATTGTTTTACTTTAAAGATTTCAAAAACACTTTTCTGTTTACTGTAAGTAACAGAATAAGTCGCCCTTGTTTTGGATGAGCTGAGAGGTGCAGCAGCTCTTCTGAGTTTATCAGTTCTCTCTCTGTCTCAGGAGACCTGCGACCTGCGACCTGCGCGGGCCGTGACGAGGGGGCGGCTCGCTGTGGGCCAGCCACGGGTGAGGTGCGGAGGAGAGAGTTTGATGTCGTTATGAGGATAGAGAGAAGTTAGCTTTACGGTAACCAAAGCTTAACAGAAAAAGGACTGAGCACGTTATCCCGTGTTGGGAAGTTTGGCCATTACTTCTTTACATGTTTTTCCTGCCCCCTTCTCTCTCTTCTCTCTACTCTGGGTGTCCAGTCACTGTGCAGTCGACCCTCTCATGTTGTCCCACAGGTCCTGAAGATCTGTTTGTTTTATTTCTCTTCTTCAGCTGCATGAATTTTGTTAACGTATGTTTACGTTCACTGACTGTTTCCTTTACCTCTGTTTGGCTATTACGGTCATCCAGTAAAGCTTTTAATTCATGCCTTGTTTGTCATTCATAGGAGTTATAGATGGGTCTTTTCTCCGTTTCCTGTTGGCTGAGTTTCCTGTCTTCCTTGCGTCTCGTCTCTGGCGCGGTGCCCACAGCTGCTGTTGGGTCCGTCTGTTCACCCCGAGGTGGAGTTGCCCAAGGTCGGCCCTGCCATGGGGCCCTAACCACCTTGCAGCTATTGGCACAGACACAGGCAGGGCTTAACCTGCGCAGCTGACAGTCTCATCAGGACCCTGATCCTCTAGACTGTGAGCACACGAGGGGATCGTGAGGGGCCCTTGGCTGTTTCCCATCATCAGGACCCTGATCCTCTAGACTGTGAGCACACGAGGGGATCGTGAGGGGCCCTTGGCTATTTCCCACCAGCTGCCCTGTCTTCAGGGAAGCCATTCTGACAGTGTCTTATGGGTTTCCTGCCCTGATGGAACTGGGGCTTCCTGCCTTGCTCCTCCCCCGGGACAGCTGCGGTGTCCAACAGGCACCCACCATTGGGCTGCCGTCTGGCCTTTAGTTTAGTGTCACCTGGCACAAGGGCCACAAGGAGCTGGCTCCTTCAGTGACTCTTGCTTTCATGGTCTGTGTCAGACCCCAACCAAGACCTCTTGTCATCCCTGGCTGACTGTCAGCCTTGCCTTGCCAGGGATATCTTGGGCTTGGTTGTCTTATTCCTTGAAAATGGGTCACTTTTTTCCGGGTTCTTGTCGTGTAATTTTGAAGTGAGTCCTGGATATTGTGAGTATTATGTTGTGGAGACTCTGGCTTCTGTTTCACCCTTTGAGAGATTGCTGCTGGCTTTGTAGCCGGCAACGGACCTGGTTTGAGCATAGAAGCATGAACGATGCCTTGCCCACTGTGGGCGGCCACCCCCACCCTGTCCAGCCACCTGTCATTGGCTCTGGCTTATGTGGTAGACCTAGGGTAGTGTTTCTGCACAGACCCAGGGGTTTCCCTTCACTCCCAGGCTCCTCCTTACAGTCAAGCCAAAAGGATGGTGGGTTTTCATTGGTATTTGGGTGGCTACGGTGGCTGTCCTTAGAGCAAATTAGAAAAGAGAGGATGATGGGCCGGTGCTGGTGTTACTCCCTCTGGGGTCCTTGGAGTGTTCTGTGCTTTTTTGTCACTTGCAGGAGGTCTTCCTCCAGACACCTGCAACTCCGCATTGGTGCAGAATTCCCCTCCAGTGAATTCTTAATTTCAGATGTTATATTTTTGAATTTGACAGTTTCTGGTCATTTTTCAGAGATACCAGTTCTGTGTAGAAATTCCCCATCTTTCTCATTTACTTTTTTCCTTTTTCCTTTTTTTCTTCAACATATTCCTCATGGTCATTTTAAAGACTATGCTTCTTGGGAGCTGGCCTGTTAGTTGGTTGGCTAGAGCCTGGTGTTGTGACGCCAGGTCAAGGGTTCACATACCTGTACCGGCCAGCCACCAAAAATAAATATATAAATAATAAAAAGAAACAGAACAAAAAAACAAAGGCTCTGAGCCTTCACTGCAGTGTCTGTGCCATCCAGGGTCTGTTTCTATTGTTTTCTTTGCTCTCATTATTTCAGTATTTGTTCTTTTTAAAACTATTCTTCATGAGTTTTTTTTTTTTTTCCTTTTTGTCTTTTTTCGTGACCGGTAACGGGATTGCAACCCTCGGTGTCGCGCCCGTACCGCGCTCAACCAGTGAGCGGACCTGTCTCTATATGGGATCCGAACCCTCGGTGGGAGCACCGCCGCACTCCCAAGCGCCACACTCTACCGAGTGCGCCACCGGGCCGGCCCTTCTTCATGAGTTTTAACTAAATCCCATAAATTGTGAGTTCAGAACTGTAGAGGCTTTGGGTGGTGTTGAATCTTCTGTTGCAGACTGGGGTTTTACCTGGTGGGTCAGCGTCATAACTGGTTCACTTCATGTGCCTGAGCTCCCAGGGCGCAGCTCTTGACTTTTAGGGCATGTCCACATTCTGGAGCATGGCCTTTACCTACAGGACCTTAACAGAGGAGCCTTCTAGAGCCCAGACCCCAGCTTCCTTCTCCTGCACACGTGCTCCAGAAGACATGTCCTGTCCCAGCAGCTGGTGTCTGCTGGGCTGCTTGGAACCTCACACTGTGCTTGCTCAGCCCAGGGCTGGCGAATGGCTTGAGGGAGGTGAGCGGATCTCCCCATACTGTGTCCCCTGCATACTTTGCAGACCACCTCCCCGTGTCCCCTGCACACTTTGCTGACCCCCCTGCTCTGTGTCTGCCCTGGCAGCCCAGTGAGTGCTGGCGTATGCTGGCAGGACTGGAGAGTGTCCTTGGAGGAAGCTTGCAGAAGTCGGCGCTGCTCTCTGGGGCAGGCCCCCAAGTCCTTCTGGCCTTGCTTGTTCCCAGGTGCCTTCAAACCATCATGTTGTGTGGACAGGAAGGGCTGGCCCAGTGCCTGGCACTAAGCAGCAGCTGCATTGGCACCCAGTGACCCTGTGATGCCTTGTTTAAGCCTAGGTTGTGCTAACGCTGGTGGGCTCCTCAGCACCTCCAGTCCACCTGCCAGGGTGGAACCCAGCACGGGCTCCACGCTCCTGTCCACACGGAGCCTCCCAGGCACTAAGTGGCTGAGCTCTGCCCTCCACAGGTGGCGCATCTGTCCTGGCTCTTTAGCGTCTGCCAGCCCTTGGCGAAGCAGGGACCCCACCCTCGAGGCTGGGCGGTGCTTGTGTCCCTCTCTTCTCCTGACCTGGGTGGAGCTGAGCGCACCTGTGGACTGAAGTTAAAATGCCACTTTTGCTATGGAGTTAGGTCAGCAAGTCTTGGCTCCATTGTTCAGATTTTGTAAGCTTTGTCTTTAATGTGAACTAATGTTGAGAAACTGATGGAGCAGAGAGACATCCTGACGTCTGGCAAGGGCTCAGGCAGCAGCTCCGCAGTGAACACATAAGTCCACTGCATCAGTGACAACCAGAAAGCCCTTTTTCTGCAGGCAGGAATCTTTGTAGAGTGGTACATCTCGTATTTTAAAGGTTCGTGGGAAAATTGCTATTTTCTCTTTTTGTGTGTACGTTTGTGAGGGGGTTTTGCTGGGGCTTGTCCAATCTGTCTTCAGTTGTTATATGTGAATCCTCCCGTTTGACATAATGTGAGAAGATGACACAGTTTTCGATGAAAAGGCTGGCCTCCGCCTGTCTAGGGTTTCGCTGACATTTTCCACTGCAGTGAGACTTTCATGATTTCTGAAACTCACCCTGTGTTTAGGACGTCTCAGAGCCCAGCCTGCATGTGGCTGATGGGTCTCTCTGAGGGTGTTCTCACAGCACAGAGGGTGCCTCAGGAGGTCTCGTGACTTTTCTCCCCAGCAGTGAACAAGTCCCTCAGAGAAGAGCCCCACGTGGGATCCATGTGTGTCAGTTGTATCACACCTGCTGGGCCAGGTCAGCGTGGTTGGGGAAACCGGAGCTGGGAATCCCATCCTGAGTGGCCTCTGCATCTCATCCCCACAGGGTCCGTGAGGCCGCCATGACCAGTCTGATGGACCTGACACTCTTGCTGGGGCGGAGCCAGCCTGAGCTGATCGAAGCCCACATGTGAGTGCCATGAAGGCAGCCGCATGCTCGCAGGGCCTGGGGAAGCTGGGATGGACTGTCCGCATGCCCAGTGGGGCTTGCATGGCAGGGCATGCACCCTCTGCCCCGATGAGCCGTTCATTTCCCTTTGCCCAGCACTGCATGGGCAACACTGCCCACCTCCCCCCACCCCTGCTTCCCCTGGGGCTCTGGCCTGTTTGATAACGGCCAGCTTCTGGGGTGAGGCTGTGGCAGGGGCAGCTTCTCAGCATCAGGTCCCTGTACCTGAGGGTATGTTCCTGCCAGGTCCTGGCCCACCTGCCACTTGGTTGGTTCCCTGGACCTGAGGCTGCCTTTGGGAACCGCCCCTGCCCCAGGTCTCTGCCACCACATTGCTGAGGCCTCTGGTCTCTGGAGATTCCTGGCCTCCCTCTTCCCCATGCTGTCCCACTCCTTCATTTCTTTCTGTCCTTCCCCTCTCACCACCCAGCCTGCAATCCCATGTGCTGTTGCTGCGTCCATGCCAGGACCTCAGCAGCATACGCTCTCCACACACTTATTAGGTACCTGCGGTGGGTGGGGGTTTCTGGAAGACAAAGGGGGATGGTGCGGTCCTGTTGAGGCCTGGCTCCCTGG